AATTATAAGGAACCTGCTGTCCGATTCACCGAAAAAATTTTGCACATAGCGCCCAATTTTTACCTAATTTGGTGCAGCGCGGAAAAAGTACATAATTTTCTAATGCATCGCTTCATTCTTTCAATTATTTTTACTGATAAAGCTGGCCGTACCGAAAATATCCGTTTTATTTGATTTTTGATATAATTTATTTATTCTTGAATATAATAGGTACTTAAACACCGAGAAAAAGTTTTTAAACTTCATACCGGATTTTGCTACTATTCGTGAATCGCCATGCGGTGTGAATCTCGGTACAATTAATTATCCAGCTAACTATATGATTGACGAACGGTCTCCGATTATCGATGTGGAAATCAACGTCACTCGTAAAGAGTAAGAGAGCTTTTCTTCTATTAATTTTTACTTTTAGAACACACTATATGTGTCAAGCACCTCGAATAGTTGATATAACACGATTCATTTATACGGCACCATTCGTTATGATCAATGTTGAAAATAGTCCATCGTTAATGACAAATTTGCCAGACCTTTTAAATATTGGTGAATATGACTAAGTTGCCTCAACTTTTCTGAAAAACAAAATTCATTCGCTTTCCGTTTCAGGTACTGTCTTTCTGCTAGTATCAGAAAAACAGGTGCTCATTTTATTGCAATTATTAAATCAAATAATAACGATTATTATTGCTTCGATGATCTGGATTCACGAGGTTGCTTTCGTCATGATGGCCTTCTATACATACACTTCGCTCTTTACGTTGTAAAACTGTAGACAGTATTTGCTTCGTTAAAAATACAATAATATTTATTTTTGAAAACGTTTTGTTTCTTCATCTATATATACTATTGAAAAACTTTTATGAAGCTTAAAACATGTCACAAAGTCTACTTATCTGAATGAATTTTTTGGTATCGAATATCAGCAAGGATGACTTGCTAAAATCGCCTGAAACCCAAGTATTTAAGTCCAAACCCGCATTTTATGGTCAATGACCCCCATTAAAAATATGACTATTCGATGTAGAATTTAATTCTACGTCTAACCCAAGTAATTAGAAAGGTAACAAAGGTCGAGGAGCGAATATCAGCAAGGATTACTCGAATCCGCTGCTAACTTTCCCTACGTGTAAATAAAACTCATCTCCAAATATGGTTGTTCATCTATTCAGTTCGAAACGAATAGATGAACAACCATCGAAATGATTGGTTCAACAATAACCAAATTACAATGAAGATTTATTACGCGGACTTTCTTTTTTCGTTGCGATTGAAAAATAACATAAAAACAAGGTAACGCTCAGTCCCTTGGCTTTATTAAGTTGGATCTGCGCAAGCGAACGCCCTTTGGTGACTTACAAATCGAACACAATGCTCACGTCTCCCTTCGGTCGGTGCTCCCTGAGTCCCTAACTAAGGCATCTTCTGGATTTCTTTTCTTTTTTTATGTATAAGGTTCGTAATCTGATATAAATATATAAATAAAAAATCTCAAGAGGTTCCAAGGAGGTTGGAAGTATTTCTAATCGATTTGTTATAATAGATTATTTATACACTGTCAATTTTATTACCTGTATTCCACTTTTTGTGTATTGTCACAGTGGACTGTTATCTGGCGACATCTACCCACGACCTACAGAAAACGTTTGCTTAGCCGTGTACCTCTCTGCATCAGTAGATATTTCAGATGATCTCTTTGAATATTTTCTCTCTTATCTAAAAATAATTTTCTACTTTTGTCTCTTGTGATTCGCTTATCCATAGAATATCTGACAGCCATTTTTCCGTCTTCTGCGCAAACTCACACACACACAGACAACTATTTTGTAAGACCCTAGACCAAAGTCAAGAGAATTAATTCCTTACAATAAATACAATTACTTGATTAACAGTATCACCGACCGTTGTTCATTTTTTACTGAAAACGACATTTTGATAATGAAGGACATTTTTTCGAAGGACCATTTCTAAAAGGCATTTTTACCAAGTACATTTACTCTGACGGACATCTTTTCAAGGATGAAAAGTAGGAAAAATTCCATGAAGGACATCTTTTAACGGAAATTCTAGACTGTTACCATTTTATACAACTCAAAAAGAAAGAAATAATCAGGCGAGGAAGCAATGTAGGACGAGTATATATTTTGTCAACAACTTTAGGGCAAGAATAAAATTCAAGACGAAAAGATAGGATTGGTCTGATCCTATAATTGTACTACACTGAAGTCTAATTCGCCTACATTGAATATATACAAATGGATGCCATTGTTTATGAGAGACAGCAATTGAATAAAATTTAAGATACTCTATTCATTGTTTCTTCGTAGTATTTGCCTATAGCGTTTTCCTATCAAGAAGACCATGGATAGATAATGCCAACCAAAGAATAGAAACGTTTAACATTTATCCTTAAAAAACATGGAATATTCCATTGTTTTTGCAGCTGATGGACAACGATTTCTTGTATGTATGGTATGCTTTTGATAGTTTAGCTTATAAAGCAACTTGATTAGCTAAATCGGGCATTAATGATGGTGTTGAAATGCGTTTAGCTGTTAGTGATAATGTATCTGATATACCGCATTCTTTAAGAATAAGTTCATTTTACTTTTTCTGTCATCATCCGCATTAAATATGTTATTTATATTTTATTTTAGATAGACTAGCGTGTACTACAGAATCAATATGCTGCGAACTTTCAACAGCTGTATTTGCTTATAACGATGTTTATGGTAATAATTCAAGGCGCACATATACTTCGTTCTTACTATCGATAACATGTTACTCTTGTTGGCTCTGTTTTGTTTTACAAGTAAGTTCTCATTTTCTCCTCAGTTCTATGAAATAACTTTTTTTCATATGACCAGCATGTTCAGTGGATGCATGGCGTTGGCCATGGTCCTCTAAAGCCTCACCTACCTTGGTCTACGTGGGTACGTACACGGGAGAAGGGGCAACGGACAGCAAGGGTATTTACGCGTTTTCGTTCGACGATGCCAAATCAGTAATTACACCGTTAGGATTGGCCGTAGCCACAACCAATGCATCGTATGTTCTTATTCATCCATCACAAAAGTATGTTTTTGCTGTTAATGAGCAAGACGATGGTAAGGTAGTCGCATTCAAGGTCGCTTCCACACAGACAGGACAATTGACACTAATCAACGATCAATCTTCTCGTGGCAGTGGTCCATGCTATCTCTCTACAAATAAAGCAGGTAATTACATATTTGTTGCCAATTATAATAGTGGCACTGTCGCTGCTTTACCCGTTGATACTACTGATGGTAGCGTTAAAGAATCGACAGGATTCGATCAGCAAACTGGATCTTCCGTTAATCCTGATCGCCAAACGTCTCCCCATGCTCATTGTATTTTGCTTGACAAGCGAGAAGAGTATGCTGTAAGCGCAGATTTGGGTTCAGATCAAATATATTCATATCGATTTACGCCTGCTGATGGCACATTAGAACGAGCGGGAATAACGAAGGTTCCAGAACCTGGCAATGGTCCAAGACATTTAGTGTTTAGTGACGATCAAGAATTTGTGTACGTAATGAACGAACTAATGTCGTCGATCACAGTTTTTAAATACTCTCCTATCATGCAGCCTGTTCAAACCATTTCCACCCTACCTTCTAATTTCACAGCGTTTAATACTGGTGCGGAAGTTCTAGTTCATCCGACTTCCGGCAAATTCCTGTATGCTACAAATCGTGGCCACGATTCGATAGCTGTTTTTTCAGTAGATCGTGGAACTGGGCTTTTATCTCTTATTCAACACATGAGTGTTCAAGGGCGAACACCTAGAAATTTTAACATTCTCCCGGATGGAAATCATCTGATTGTTGCCAATCAAGATTCGAACAATTTGGTCGTCTTTTCAATCGATACAACTACCGGCAGATTAACGGCCACTGGTGCGACTGCTGAAGTGAAAACACCGACATGTATTAAGTTTCTGAACACATGACTGTATTGTTAGTAATTTCTGACAGAAAAAAATAAATAAGTAAACAAGAGCATTGCTCGACGTGTCTGTCTGATAATATAGAAGAGATAGAATGTTCTCATTCTGTATGCACCTGTAAGAGCGTTTTAGACGAAACTACTTTCTTTTCGAAAGAAGCAGTCAACGACAATGTTCGAATTACATACACGTGCACTCAGTTGCTCATTACACACCATTATCACACTTCATCATCATGTAGACGATGGGTGTATTCTAAAAAGATACTTGTTCTTTTCTTGATTAAATACAAAGACTATCTATTTCCAAGTGGACCGGCTGCTCGTCTCTTGGGCTGTGCAGTTTAAAAGTGTTTTCTAAAAGTTAAAAGTTAGCGAATTTCGAAAAAAGTTAAAATAGTTATAGCTGGAGTAAAAACGTCTTACCTTAGTTTCATGTTAACTGCTTACTGTTTGCCGCATGTGCAACAAGGACACAGCGAGATGAATATATTGCGAAAGTAAAGTCAATAAAAGCAGCATGCGAGAATAAAGTCTTGATGAGTTTTGTGAGAAGAGTACAGTCCCATGAACAGACGAAAAGAAACAAAATAAATTAGAGTTTATCTTTATGTAACAAAACAAAAATCTGTTAAGAAATATTTTTAAATTTGTTTTTCTTAAAAAAAGATTATTCTGACGCTTCTCTTCTAAGTGGTGAAGATCGCAGTTCGTTAGTCCTTTTCTATCAAAAGTTATTCAGAAAATAGTATACAGAATTTTGTTTTCAAATATCGAGTAGACAAACCGATTTTCTGGTACAATTGTTTGTTTTCTTCGTATAGTGTTTACAATAATATATGAACACTAGCAAAAAAAAATCAACACCATGCATACAAGAGTGTAAGGTAACCTTTTATATCCGAAAAATCTTGTATCTAGAGTTATAGTTACATTTTCAAACGGCTCTAAGAACATTGCTAGAGTTTAAGGTATACTTTATAATTCTTCTATAAAACGTCTTGTTGTCCGAGAACGACATTAATTTGATCCATTAATTTCTTTGCTTTTTTCTCAAAGTTGGAGTTATTGATATCACGAAAATCCATCCACAGAAGACCAGCTGTTATGAAGCCTACAAGTAAGATTAGAAGCGCTTAATCAGCACATTTGTCAGACAGGCATCAAGTCCAGGTAATCTCTGGACCGTACGGTTTTTCCCTTATTGACCGCGATAAATAAATAAAAATAGGCGACAAAGGTGGTTTACCCTACCTAACCAGCCTGATGGTTCCCAATTTCGTTGTAATTTACATGGTATTATAGGCACACGTTTTGTTTTGGCAAATTGCAGTTCTTGTTGACAGTTTTCAGATTTCTCATATTTTGGACTCATGAAGCAGCAGATAGCAGCTGCATTTTCAACACCTTCAGCCATACTAAAAGGTAAGCATCGAGTTATTCTGACTAACTAAAGTAGAAAATAGATACCATTCATAAATATTAGCTTTCATCCCACCATTAATATCCATCCATACAGAAAAGTCATTAGCCGTAAGAAATTGATACACTTGTTCTACCAAGTCCTGGTTCTCCCACTGATATGATAACATTATATGTTTTTGACGTGCTTAACAAAAACGGACCTTTTTTATTAGTATTACTGATTTTCATAACTGATTATGTCATCTTACCGTTTATATACTGTGGTGTGAGACTGACAACTTCATCACATTGTTCATCATCTTGCGCCTGATCTACGTTGCTGGTGTTCTCCTCTTCGCTGACATTTTCTTCTTCATGTGTGTTCTCTTCATCACTGTTATCACTTGGTTTCTGATATTCGTTAACTGTGTCTTCAACGAAAAAAAATCTAAGTTAATACAGATTAAGGGAGAATTTCAAAATAAATTCTGGTCAGTCGTTATTCCTCTATATCAAATTACACAACATTTGGTTTGGGGCTACTTTTGTCGTACAACGTTGAACCTCTTTGTTCTGCTTTTATTTCTTCAAAGATAATTAAACCGCTCTCTTTGAAATTCATCTATCAAGCTATCAACTACGCATCTAAATCAAAGCATTACGTAATATGTACATTTTTTCAGATCTAACCCATTGTATATGTTTAAGATTTCGTTTATCGGCGTTTGCTTTATTAATTGACGGTATAGTTGGAGAGAATAATGAAAATACTTATCCAAATGAATACTTATCCAAAGACAGTCTGCAATATGTTTCAAAACATTATTCATCTGTCAAGCTATCAACTACACAAATGTAGTAAAAAGAGAACTTTTCTTTTACAGTTTATTCTACTCCGAATCTAAACTTTCCTATAAGAGAAATCTTTCTGTTTAAAGAATAAAATAAGCAAAGTACAAATTTTATATGTTGATCAAAATGTTCACCTTTTATATATGCAAGATAGAGAATGCTCACTATAAACTTATTTCGAATTCTATCACCTTCGTGAATTAACATTACATTAACTAGAGAAGACTCATGTCCACTTTTTATACTAGTTTAAAATGCAAGTTGTACACGATACTGATCTAGTTCTTAGAATGAGTGCGCTTGTAGTTTTGAGATATATGGCTATGAATATCGATGATTATCGTTAAAAGAGCAACTTTTTGCAACGATCGGACAAACGAGAATATTGTATTTCCAGAAGAATCGAATGAATGAATTACGACCTGAAAGTTTGTGGTCTAATGATCATAGGTCTAAGTGCGAAAAGATGCCTCAGACTTTTAAATCGAGTCGGGAGTTCAAACTTGCAAGCAGCCCTTGTGACTCGACTGACGAGGGAACCTCTCGAGGTGATTAAAAGCTTTTCGACTCAGACTATTTTCATCATGTAGGGAATAGTCAGCAATAAAAAACCCCAAGTTGGTGTGGATCCATGCGCCTTTTTGACGGAGATATGAGTTAATTAATGAAAATGCCATTAATAATAATTAATTAATATCTCACGACCATGATTGGCTAGGAGTCGGAAATTTACACCACAGTTGAAGATAGATGTTGTCTACTCACTGCGACACTTTTAGGCTTATAAACCAAAGCTTTTGCAAGATATGAATTTTTTAGGATTTAGACGGCTTTTAGTGAAAATTCACCATTGAAAACCTAAAAACTTGTAATCACCTTTTAGATACCTCTATCGACTCAGTAAAGACTTATTTCATTTAGATATAGGTCCCTAAGAGTCGCTGAGCTTCTGCAGCGTGAACAGAAGTACTTAAAAGGTGGTAACAAGTTTTTAGGTTTTCAATGGTGAATTTTCACTAAAAGCTCTCTACATCATAAAAAACTCATATCTTGCAAAAGCTTTGGTTTATAAGCCTAAAAGTGTCGCAGTGAGTAGACAACATCTATCTTCAACTGTGGTGAAACTTTCCGACTCCTGGCTGATCATGGTCGTGAGATATTAATTAATTATTATTAATGGCATTTTCATTAATTAACTCATATCTCCGTCAAAAAGGCGCATGGGTCCAAACCAACTTGGGGGTTTTTATTGCTGACTATTCCCTACATGAAGGAAATAATCTGAGTCGAAAAGGTTTTAATCACCTCGAGAGGTTCCCTCGTGAGAAATATTTCTCAAAACAAAACGAGCTATTTTGTAGAGAATTGAATGTCTATTCAACAGTATATTTTCAAAATTATTTTACGAAAATCTCTAGGCCAAAAAATTAAAGTTAAAGTTTTCAAAAAGTTTAAATTTAACATTTTTAATTTAAAATTAGTTTTTTTTTAAAATAAAGGCCGAATTCGAAGCCAAAGCTTTTCTTTGTTTCTATCTGCACATGGTCAGACAGTAAGGGAACACCTCCTATATTCTGATCGGGATATAAAACATAAAATTTCGTCGTAAAAGCGATTAAGGTAAAAATGACGAGATTTTGGGAAAAAATTGACGTGATCATTAGAAAGAGCTCGAAAAACTATATCGGATTCTGTTGTGTTTGAACAAAAATGCATCGAGCACGCAGCAACTATCTTTTCGAACAAAAACCTTTAACAAATTTTAGTCTAATTTATATCCCGATCGGGATATAAGACACGAGATTTCGTCGTAAAAACGCTTAAGCAAAAAATGATCACGTTTTGGGATAAAATGGACATCGCCATTAGAAAGGGCTCGACAAACTACATGGAATTCTATTGTGTTTGATCAAAAGTGTGAAAAAAAACAAGTTTTTAATAAATTTTAGTCGAATTTATATACGATCGAGCAATAGGCGGTTAATCTTTTATTGCTCATAATGGGATATACTCTTGATCTAATCGCTTTCCAACCGACCGTCTTTCAACTAGAGGAAACAAAAGACAATACTAGGAACGTTAGAGAGGAGCAATAAAGAAGAAGAAGAAGCAGAATATTCAGCTCTCATATAATTCAAATTTATCATTTTCTTACAAATTAAAAATCAAAATTTTCGATATCCGGATTGGGTTATAGATTTTTTTGATATCTCAATCGGGATATCGAATTATATCCTGATCGGGATATACAAAACGTTTACTGTAAAAAATGATATCCTGATTGGGCGTACATCCTGATCGGGATATGTCTCCACACTGTCAGAATACACAGATGAGCTTTTTTATGGGTTCTGTTCGTCCAGGATGCTAAAATATCTCATTTTAAATGGAAAGATCCAAAGAAGTCTAAGTCAAAAAAGGACGATATTTTCGGTATAGATACCGCGCTATTGGCGCATACCTAATTCTAAGGGTCATTAGACCTTTTATTGATTTTGAAAGAGGTTTACAGCGAGCACTCAACATATAAAATTTGTACTTTGCTTATTTTATTGTTTAAACAAAAAGATTTCTCTTATAGGAAAGTTTAGATTCGGAGTAGAATAAACTGTAAAAGAAAAGTTCTCTTTTTACTACATTTGTGTAGTTGATAGCTTGACAGAAGTTAATTAGTAAAAAACACGAAGTTCCTGTATACATATATAAAAATTGTTATATAATGAAATGTTGTATAACAGCGGAACACAG